CAGGGGACGGCGGCTACGGCCGGGCGGGCCGGCCCCCGCGGGGCGCAGAGCTGGGAGCGGGACGGTTGGCTCACCTCACCCGGAACTGCTCCTTCCACACCTTCCCGCTGCTCTGGCACAGCTCGCGCAGCCGCCGACAGGTGCTGGAGACGCGGCCGATGTCGCCGGCCGTCAGCGAGCCGCTGCACAGGATGTACTCCAGCACCTCGCCCGGCAGGTTGACGAGGCAGCTGAGGCCCGCCGCCTCGGGCGCGGCCTCCTCCGCCAGCGCCGGCACCACTTCCATCGCGCTGTCGACCGCTGCCGCCGCCATCTTGTCCGCGTACCTGGGGCCGCCGCACACGCGCGCGCGCGCGCCGGGGAGCCCCACTTCTCCCCGCCCACTCGACTCGGGGAGGGTCCAACGGCCGTCCCGCCCACTCAGAGGCCACACCCCCTCGGGCCCAGGCCGCTAGGGGCTGTAAATGCCTGCGATCTGTGCTCTGTACCCTGCAAAGGACGACACCTCTTATCGGGGACAGTAGTAGCACCCATCCTTTTTTTAAAAAAAATTAATTTTTTAACTTGATAAAGTCTGCATATATTCTCGTGTGTGCCAAGAGCTTTCTGTGGGTTAGCTCATCGCAGCTTCCCAATCACTGTCCCAAAATTACAGATAGGGAAACCGAGACTTAAGGAAGCGAAAAGACTTGCTCAGGGTCCCTCGTCTTAGATCCCCTTTTGGGGGGTCGGGGGGGGGGCAGGGGGCGGGAATAGGCGGCTGGCGGGCACGGAGATCTAAATCCATGAACTTGCTGTTACAAGGCGGCACTCGTAACCAACTGACCTAAACAGTCCTCCTGTCCTACATTCTAATCCAGACTCACTTGACTTCTGCTTGGCTGCGCTCTTAACCGTATGCTTTAAGAATAACAAACAATATTTTTGAGTGGGAGCTGTGCCAAGCACTCAACATAGGTTTTTCAAGGATTTCTCATTCCAGTCCTCTATGATAGTGTAGGGGAGTAATAATAACCCCCAAATATATGTCCTGTTTTTAGGCAAACAGAGAGAGGGCAGAGAGCTTTCCTGTATCCATTTCTTCTTAATTTTCTTTAGCTCAGCAATCCTTCATATTTTAGGGGGGCATATTCTGGTCTCCCACAATAGGTACCATAATTGTAGTCATTCCACAGATAAGGAAAACAAGGCTCCTCAAGGTGAGAGTCACTGGTTAAAAGAGGCAAAAGTGGTAGAGCCTGGATTTGACCCCTCAAAGCGGGAGTTACCACTCAGGTGTGGGTGGGTATTCTTGGTGCCTGAACATTTTTTTTTTTTTTTTTTGCCAGGTCCTGTGCTGTGTGTCCTGGGATAGAGGTAAGAAATCCTTGTCTCCCTGCCGCGCCCCCCCCCCCCCCCCCA